GCCACGCTGACTGCTTCGATGCCTTGCCCAAGAATCCCAACCGGCATGTTTTGCGTACGATGCAGACTCATCTTCCCATCTGCTGAACCGCCCCAGCCAGGAGCGAATTGGGCTCCCGATTGTTCCCATTGATTGCTCTTCCCACTACCTGTGGTCCTTCCATTGTGTCATCCGTTTGGCCTACTGGTTAGCTGTCATGCAAATGATCTTCCCCCGCCCACTTTGAATTCTTGGGCTTACGCCGCACCGCCGACCCCTTGGGGGGCTCCTGGTAGGTCTCTCGGGGGCCTCCTGGCAGCACTTTTGAAGCCTTTTGGGGGCTGTTTTGGGGACTCTTGGGGCCTCTTTTGGGCCTCTGATGGGCCTCTTGGAGGCTCTTGGAAGCTTCTTGGGGGCCTCTTAGGGCCTCCTGGAGGCTTCTTGGGGCTTGAAATTTCCATTCGGGTCCCCCGCCTGGGCCCCCTCCTGGAGCCGTCTTGGGGTCCTCTTGGGCTGTCTTGGGGCCCTCTTGGGCCGTCTTAGAGCCTTCTTGGGGGCTTCCTGGGCCGTCTTGGGGCGATCTTGTAGGTCTCTTGGGCCGTCCTGGATGCTGTGAAAGCCCAAGAGGCGAATGTGCTAAAATCATACGTTTCCTTTTCGGAATTGGACGATGTTTGCTTCTGGGGGCCCTCCTGGGACGCCTCTTGGAGGCCTCTTGGGGCGTCTCGGGGGCCTCTTGGGTCGTCTGGGGCCCATCTTCCGCAACATGCGTCGCTCTCCGAACCCCACTCTTTGTCCGGACGCCTGGCAGGCCCAACCATCCGTCGAATCATGCATCGCTGCGTGCTTCTCACTCGGCGCTTCTATATGACTGTGAGATGATATGTTTCACTACCTTACAAAACTGTCTTGGACACGGTCGCGTCAAACGATCGCATTCTTTTGATTCAGAGCTGTTTTTTTCATCAAGGCTTCTGAAAGGCTGGAAAACTTGGTCCATCCAGACCGTAATCTCGAATCAAACTCTGTTGAAATAGCACCATCCATTGTGATTATAGTGCCCACTACTTCAAAACCAACGTTACAGCTTACCAATGGATACTCACACCACCCTGCCAATATTATCTTCTTGTTTGGTGGTGCAACTTTTCCAGGGGATTGAATACTGCATTTCCCAGCGTTCATGTGCAAACCAACTGTTGCATACTCGTCCCGGATCGACGCCAACAGTTGCACCAATTCCTGTCTCGATTTTGCCACCAATGCAGTGTCAGTTGCAAACATAGCGTAAGTCATGCGGTTTTTCTCGCAGAAGTCGCTGCCGACGATGCTTCCGTACCCTTTGTTTTCCTACGCCTCGTTCAGTTGCAAGCATCGCTTTACTGATTGCATTTGCGAATGATGCCGGCGACATTAGATCTCCCTGACGAGCGCCACGGAGAATATCGAAGCATGTGATTCGTGTGTTTGGATCTAGCCGGATGTACGCTGGCTGGTCCCGATACAAATCTTCTACTGCCCCCAAAAGCGCTCGCCGACGTCAGCTTCTTGTAAACCGGCCAGCACAGCTGCATGTATGAGTTTGTCAAACGCCTTTTCCAAGTCTATGGAAGGAGCTCGTACTGCTTCCCCCCACTCAGTGCTTTTCTCGCTGACCATGCGCATACAATGTACGAGATCACATCATCCTTATTATTTGCGAAACCCAACTTCTTCTGGTGTTCGGAGACTGTCCAAGATATGCCCCATCCGCTTCAAGAGTACACTGCTGCATTATTTCTTCATCGGGGCTGGCTTTGTTCCGCTTCGTCCCAGACTTGCACCAGATCACGTCGCCATTTTGTTCAGCTGATATATTTGTTCTTGGTCTGGCTGCCCGGGGCTCCTCCAGTGGAGCATTATACAAGAACTTGTAGCGTACAGCGAACATCCCTGCTATGTCTTCCCTTCTTGACTGTATTTGGCCGCTGGCATCTTGAATGCTAGCGATGCGACTTCCTTTTTTTCGGCTGCCGGTGGAGCCCAGGCAGCTTTGTGGCGGCGCCTTTAACGATCAGTTTGTCCAGCTGCTCGTTGTTCTTCTTCCACATCTGGTTCCCGATGGCTCTGTTCAAGCTGAGCGTTTCCTTCTTCCTTTTGTCTTTGGCGGCAGCCTTGTTTCTTTCTTCCCGGAGTTGCTGAATATTCGGATCCGTGTCGTCGTCCTTCTCTCGCCCTCTCGGCGCTGCGCCGCATTCGGAAGAAGCCCACAAAAGCGCCTCCGCCACTGCTGCAACTTCCTTTTGGGCTCTCGTGCAAAGCCTTCGATTGAGCCAGATGGTATGCCTCCTTGCTGGTAGTAATACGCAAGGGCTTCGCCCCATGCCGCCGGCCCCCTGTCTCGGATAATGGGAGAAGCAGAAGCTAAATCATGAGGTCTGGGCGCCGCCGTGAAGCAGTGTCGGGACCTGAGTGTTTTTCGACCCTGACCCTACGGATCTGCGTCAGGGGTGCCCGCGAATTTCAGAAATGTGGCAACTCCCTTGTGTTTTTGGACCCTGACCCTACGGATCTGCGTGAGAGGTGCGACCGAATTTCAAACATGTGGCAAATCCCGTGTGATTTTGGACCCTGACCCTGCCGATCTGCGTGAGGGGTGCCCGCGAATTTCAGAAATGTGGCAAATCCCAATTGTTTTTGCCCCCTGATCCCGCCGATCTGCGTGAGGGGTGCGACCGAATGTTAGAAATGTAGCAAATCCCATGTGTTCTTGGTCCCTGACCCCGCCGATCTGCGTGAGGGGTGCGACCGAATGTTAGAAATGTGGCAAATCCCATTTGTTTTTGCCCCCTGACCCCACCGATCTGCGTGAGGGGTGCCAGCAAATTTCATAAATGTAGCAAATCCCATGTGTTGTTGGTCCCTGACCCCGCCGATCTGCGTGAGGGGTGCGACCGAATGTTAGAAATGTAGCAAATTCCATTTGTTTTTGCCCCCTGACCCCACCGATCTGCGTGAGGGGTGCCAGCAAATTTCAGAGTTGTGGCAAATCCCATGTGTTTTTGGACCCTGACCCCGCCGATCTGCGTGAGGGGTGCGACCGAATGTTAGAAATGTAGCAAATCCCATGTGTTGTTGGATCCTGACCCCGCCGATCTGCGTGAGGGGTGCCACCGAATGTTAGAAATGCAATGTGTTTTTGTACCCTGACCCCGCCGGTCTGCGTGAGGGGTGCCACCGAATTTCAGAAATGTGCAAATCCCCTGTGTTTTTCGACCCTTACCCCGCCGATCGTGTGAGGGTGAAAATTTTTACCCACCCCAGCCATTCAGAGCACACGCTCAGGGCGTGCTAAACCTGTCCGTTTGGGCCTTCCCCCTCTCGCGCGGTCCATAACAAGGAACAGTAAGCAGCAAGAAGCAGAATTGTAACAGTGGAAACTGGAAGCTGCAACTAGTACAGGAAACTGCGAACCTTCGCCCTACAGCCTGGTGGCCCCACAAGGGGGCCGGCGGATCTTCCACCCTCTTCCCGTTTACGCCGGCTTCCTCGTTTTTTCTTTTCCGTCTACTCATCAATTTTGTCCATATGGCCTTGTGGTTTTTTTACATCTAATCCGGAATCACATCTGTATTCTGCAATTCTGCGTTGAGGCGCCCATCTATCAACATGTAGTCGATTTGTCTCATGTTCCTTGTAATCCATAATCTGCGCGCCCATGTCATGGTTTTCTTGGCTTCGGCACGCTCTGCAAAACCAAGTGCTAAGACCTGTGTGGATCGTTCTTTGGACTCCTGTTGTGGAGGGGGTTCCATGCCGTGGGATTTGGGATTGCCCATCCAACGACTTTAAGATGTCCTTGGTGTCCGTGTTACCTTCCTTGATGTTGTGGTCCCTGTTCTCCAGCTCGTCGACGTCCTTCTTCATACTCGTGGCCTTTTCCATTGCCAGCTCCGCCGTAGTGGCGGCTGTTTGCGCAACCGAGCGGGTTGGCGCCATCTCAGTCTTTCTGATGTTTGGTCATGCTTCCAGTCCTGAACTTCTTTTTGCTGTCTCGTGGTGAAGAAGCGCTCCCCTCCGGAGCCGAGGGAGGGCGATGGGAAGGACGGGGACGATGCAGAAGGGTCGGGGTGGGGAGCAGGGGAGGCGGCGTTGAGCACTGGAGGGGCAGCGTGGATCGAAGGGAGCGGGGCATCTGGTTGACCTTCTCCAGCTCCATCCAAGCGCTCTCGTCTTGCTTGTTTCAGGAGGGGAAAAAACACACAGACACAATTAATCGTCGATTCCCAGGAAAATATGGGAAGTGGGGGGGAAGACAGAAACCCAGAAAATATAAGAACATATGGGGAATATGTTTGTTTGTGTGTATTCATTTGTGTGTCCTGGGGCCCCTTCAGTGGGGTGGGGAGCAGGGGAGGCAGCGTTGAGCACCGGAGGGGCAGCGTGGATCGAAGGGAGCGGGGCATTTGTTTGACCTTCTCCGACTCCATCTCAACGGCACCGTAACGGGTACTCACTAACGGGCACTTAGCAATTTTGCCGAAAGTTGCCACTTTAGGGCCTCTTTCTGGCAATGAAGCGTTGCCCGCCTCGGGAAGGGTTGGGTTCGCTGGGTCACTGGGCAAAGTACCCGTTAGTGGAGTCTCCGTTTGAGGAGCGCTGACCATCCAATCGCTCCTGTCTTGCTCGTAGCAGAGAGACCAGGGCCCTGGTGCGCTGGGGAGGGATGACAAGGCGATTCGCCCAGAGTCCAGCATATCTCTCCCCCTCGGAGCAGTCGCCACCCGCTCCCCGCTCGTCTCCCGAGGGATCCTTGGAGTGAATCAGGGGGGGAAGATACGCACAGACACCATGAACCGTCGATCCCTCAGAAAGATATGGGAACCTATGGGAAGTGAGGGGGGGAAGGCAAGAACCCAGAAAACGTGGGGAAATATGGCATTCTGGGGAATCCTGTGGTTTCTCTGTGTGTGTGTGTGTGTGTGTGTCTGTTTGTGTGTCCTGGGGCCCCTTCCGTGCAGGGCGCCGGGGCGCCCCGCCAGGAGCTCGGCGCCGCGGCCGAGGTCGTGCGCCCAGGCGGGCCCCCGGCCCGCCGGGGACTCGCCGGCTGGAGCGCCGGGCGAGCCTCGGCTCGCGGGGTTCGGGGGCCTCGAGACGGGGGTTAATCAGAGCCCCGAATCATCAGGGGTAACTCGGGTCAGGGCTAACTCGGGTTCGCTTTTCGGGATTCCGAACCCGAGTTACCCCGTGCCCGAGTTACCCCAGATAACTCGTGCGTCCAGAGCCCCACATCATCAGGGGTAACTCGGGTCAGGGCTAACTCGGGTTGCTTTTTCGGGAATCGAAACCCGAGTTACCCCGGACCGAGTTACCCCGGATAACTCGGGCGCCCAAGTCAATGCAAACGGGGGTCAGCCAGGGCACCGGATCCTGCAGGATCCTGCGAAGACCCCCTCTGGCTGACCCGGGTCAGCGAGCCGCTCGTGGCCGCGGGGGCGGCCGCGCAGATTGGCTGACCCGTGTTTGCGAAGATCTGCGTTGCAGTTTTTTTGTTTTGTTTTGCATTGCAGTTTTTGGTTTCTTGCTGACCTGGGTCTGGATTGACCCGGGTCAGATCCCCGAGGGGTGGTGCTCCTGCTCATCCTCGCGCCCAGCAGCTCAAGAGGGGAAAAACCACACACACCAACAAAAGGAATCGTCGACTCCCAGGAACATGTGGGAAAATCTGGGAAGTGGGGGGGGAGACGAAACCCTAAAAAATATGGGGCAAGATGGGGGATCCTGTTATTTGTGTGTATTTTTTGTGTGTCCCTGGGCCCCTTCACTAATGGCCTTTGGCCCATTGGGTATACAGTATTTTGGATGATGGCGGAGATCTCGTACGAGGCTTTTTTGGAGGCAGCCTTGAGGCCTCTTGGGGGCCGTTTTGGGGCCTCTTGGGGTCTTTTTTTGGGAAGCCTCTTGGAAGCCTCTTGGGGCCTCTCGGGCGCCTCTCGGGGCCACCTGGGTGCCTTTCGGAGCGGAAAGCTCAGACTGTCGGTTCGTGTTCTTTCCATTGTGGGGGCCGTCTTGGGCCGTCTTGGGAGCCTCTTGGGCCGTCGTGGGGCGCTCTTAGGCCGTCTTGAGGCCCTCTTGGTGGCCTCGTGGGCCGTCTTGGGGTGGTCTTGGGGGCCTCTTGGGCAGTCTTGGAGCGTTGGAAAGCCGAACAGGCGAGAACGCCAAAAACCCTTCAAACACCCCAGGAATATGAATGACTGTTGCCTCTTGGGGCCCTCTTGGGGGGACTCTTGGACGCCTCTTTGTAACGTTTTGGAGGGCTCTTGGCTCTTGGGCCATCTTGAGGCCATCCTGGGCTTCTTAGAGCGATCTTGTGTCGACTTAGGGCCCTTTTTGACTATTTTAGGGGCCTCGTGGAGCCATCTGGGCTCGTTTTGGAGCCCTCCTGGTTGGGGTAGGCCGACGAGAGCGATTCCGGCGGGCCCCAGGAAAGCTGGGGAAACGATTGGTCCAGGGCCCTTAAAGGCTTACAATGCTGGCTGCAGCAGCAGCGCAGTCCACTCAGTGCTGCATGAGCCATGGGGCACTCCACTTCGCGCCAGAGCCACGGTGGCGGATAAACAACTACCCCCCTTGTCGTGGCAGCAGTGTCCGCACGGTAGGTTCGTGTCGTGACGACCAGCGGCGACCCCGCCAGCGGCGTTCAGCGTTGAACGCCGTGGGCGACCCAGAATCGTTCGATGTGGAACGGTTTGGACGTTTCGGAAACGGCCGATCGTTCAAGGTTGAATGATCCCCGCGGTGTCAGAAACCAACGCCGAAGTCGGCACGACACGAACCTGACGTAGACTGGGCCAGGCGTTTCCTTTGAGACCTCTTGCATTTATTCACCTTGATTGAGCTAAGCAGCTCCAACAGTTACAAGGACGGAGGGTTGGTGGTTTTCAAGATGCGGGTCTTGCCTCATTCTGAAGTCGGGCATGTCCCTCTACAGGAGGAATATTCAAAATATAGAGGATGATTGTTCGATTATTTATGAAGTATGTTTGAGTGTTTTTGGGTATTTTATATTTTTTTGTATCCAAAATCCGCCTGTAGGAGGACATGCCCGACCTAATCTTAAATGTGGAGAGCTGCTGGTTTTCAAATCGCGGCTCTCGAGTGAGCGCCGTGCACACTCGTTTTCAAACAGTCTCCCGATTACAAGGATGGAGGCTGGTTGATGATTGTGGCTCTCGCTTTAGTGCCGCGCACATCCGTGTTAAACAAAGCCAGCATTTGTCCGGATCTAGCGCCAGGTGGCTTCAACATGCAATTCTTGCATTAGCGCCGCGCGCATTCGTTTTCAAAGTGTCGACAGCTAATGTCAGATTGTGATTAACAAATGACTGGACCCCCCTGGGCTGATGCGTAGACCCCGCGGGGCGTGAACATTTTTTAAATCACGCGCGCCAGGGGGTCGTCGCTGGCGCCGCCGCGGGGATTGTGTCCCCCTGTATGACAGCCTCAAAACGACTGCCTGTTGTATATAGTTCTAGGGGTCGTACAAATCCGAGGCGTTGTCGTCGTCGCCGCCGCCTGCCCATCTCGTCGTCGTCTTCCTCGTCGTCGTCGTCGTCGTCGGTTTCCTCCTCGTCCTTGTTCCTTGTTCCCGTGTCTCGGCCTGCGTGCTCCAGTTGTTTGTTGGTTGCTTCCTTTTTGTCTCCAGCAGTGCTCGCACAGACGTGCTCTCAGGCATCTCCGGAGAGGAAGGAGTTCACACTGAACATTGGGATGTAAATCTGTCAGGTGCAGCTTCTATAAGCACACGGCCTGGCTGGTCGACCATTCTTTTTTTTCAGGCAGTCCAGGTCGTCGCCGTCGCCGAGGCTGGACGCAACTCGAAACATTGTTCAGGATGTAGTCGTGCAGGATTCTGGGGGGCAGGGCTCCCCTCATCGTTCGGGGGTGCTTCTGTTGTCCCAGATGTCCTTCGTTGGTCATTGGATGCTCGTTCTTGATTGACCAGTCTGGGCAGCTGTGCTCCCTCCTACCTCGCCTTCTGTCTTCCCCTCGGTTCTCCGTGCTGGAGACCTTGGGGGGCTGTGTGTGCCATATGCTTTTTGGATGCGTCCTTGGGTCTCTTGGGGTGTCTCGTGGGGGCACATTGGGGGTATCTCGAAGCGTCGTGGGGGCCCCTTGATGGCTCTTGAGGGTCTCTTGGGGTCCCTAGGGCGCATGTTGCGTAGCTTTTGCAGCTCTCTTGCTTCTGGCCATCATGGAGGCGATCGATCAAAAGGGGGGCCCTCATTCGCCTCGCATCCCCCCCCCCCAGAAGGCCCAAGTGGGCCCAACACCAAGGACACCTCATTGTGCTTTGCTTTTCTAGCTGGTGCCGTCTTGGATGCTCTGACCTCAGTGGGAGGAGTATGGGGAGAGGTAAACCCCTCCTAGAATGGGACGACCAGGGGGGGGGGGGATGGCAGAGGAATTGCTCTAAACCACCCTCAGCCCAGAGGGCTAACGCGTTGAACCTCAAGCCAAGTTGCGTCTAGGACCTTTATAAGCCAGTGATGCCTCTCTTTACCCTGCATCTCTCAATGCCAGCTTCTGTTGCGAGACTAGGGCTTCATTACGTGAGTTGTCATTCAATGTGTACTGGGGACGCTCGCCAGGTGAGATAATAGTCTCGGACTTGGCCGAGGAGATCGGCGGCGTCCAGTACTACAGGATCGCTGGAAGGCCAGCCGACACGCCAGGCCAGCCTGTCTCTTCCTGTCGGCCTCTTTGACGTTTCGGTGCGCCGCACCAACGCATGCCTAAGCACCAGCGGAACACACGAGGCTGCAGAGGAAAAGAAGAACGACAGTGGGAAAATAATTGGGGACCACTTCATTTTTCTGCAGTGTGGCCAGGGCATGTGCGTTTTCGCAGGGTACATGATCCTTTGCCTTGGCATCGCTCGGACATGTGCAGTTTTTTTCTCGGCGGGGACCATGTTTGTTGTCTCATCCACTGTTTTGCCGATCGGCGCAGGCCCGCGCGCCTCCTCCCCCCATCGAGTAGATCTTAGCTGTTTTTGGTGCTAGTTTCAAGCAGGTGGAGTCTCCCCGTGGACGTCAGGAGTCGGTTCCACAACTTCGGGAATCCGTTTTCTGGCCTTGGGGACGTCAAGAGTCGTCCCCGGAAGAGGATGGTGAGGAGGAGGATGAGGAGGAGGCGGAGGAGGGGGAGGAGGAGGAGGAGGAGGAGAAGGAGGAGGAGGAGGCGGAGGAGGAGGAGGAGGAGGAGGCGGAGGAGGGGGAGGAGGAGGAGGAGGAGGAGGAGGAGGAGGAGGAGGAGGAGGAGCAGGAGGAGGAGGAGGAGGAGGAGGGGGGCATGAGGAGAGGAGGAGGAGAGAGGAGGAGGAGGAGGAGGAGGAGGAGGTGGAGGGGATGGAGGAGCAGGAGGAGCAGGAGGAGGAGGGCGGGTGGCTGTGGCTGGCGCCAGGGGATCGGGCTTCAAGGCTCGAGGTTTGAGGTTCGAGGCTCGAGGTTTGTCTGCGTGTCTCCAGCCATCTCGGCTGCCCTGGGGCGTTCTCGTCTTTACGGCGGGCTTCCTTTCGCAATTCTGGTTCAACCGCATCCCTGTGGCTTGCTCTCACACACAGGCGCTCGTTGACGGATGCCCACAGAAAGACGTCCAGGAACATGGGATGCACAGATAGGGATACTCGCGTCGGGCAATTTCTTGTTTCGCGCCTGCATCGGGGCTTTTTCCCCCTTTCATTGTCTCCTACGTCCTCGGTCGTCTGCCGCTGTCGTCGCTTTCCTCGTGCCGCCGTGGGGCAACCGCACTGCTGTTCAATTCTCTCCTCGCCGTCCAGGCTTATGGCGGTCTCCAACTCTCGTGCGGCCGTGGTTAGTCTCTCCCACAGTCTTGCGTGCACACTCCCTACCCTCTGTGCCCACATGACCGATGCCGGTAGGTTTGCACCGCGATCGATGCTGCGGGGCGGGCCGTCGCGCGTGTTGTTATGACTGTTGCCTTTCCTCCGCCTCGTCGCTACGCGCGAGGCGGCTACCGCCAGAAGACGTGTGTTTGTGTGTGTGTGTGTGTGTCGGCGGCCAGTCCTTGGGGGAAGTCAGAGGGGGTGGGCCTGCTCAGAGTGTTCGGAAGTGCCCCGGCTTTCTGAGAAGTCCCGCCGCTTTCTGAGAAGGCCTTCTCCTTCTCACTTCCCCCCCTCACTCGCCTCCGAGTGTGTGTGTGTGTGTTTGTGTGTCCCGTAACCATTTTGGCTCAAGTCCGTAGCGGGAGGCTCAGGATTGAGGTCATTTTGGCACTGGGGAGGGAAGTCCCCAACGGCTAAAATCGCTCTACACCAACATGTTGCTCATGCGGTACAGGGGTTCGTTCTTACTGCCTTGTCATCAAGAAAACGACAATTTTTGGGGGGCTTGGTTTCTCGAGGACTGCCATCGAGGGGATGGCGCCGCCTCACCACCGAGTGGAGCAACGCAAAAATCAGTGGTTCTGCAAGAGTTGCGTCGGGGCCCGTGGTTCGCCATGGTTCAACGTCCCCGACGCGATGGCGTGCTCCAAGTGCAAGATGGGGAAAAGGCCCCTGCTTCAAGGAGTACCGCCTACCCGGCTGCGTCTTCCTCTGCACGCGCGCCAGGCCGCACGTTGGCAGCATGGACGAGTTCGGTCGAGGTGCAGAAACTCAAGGCGGAGTCGGCCGCGGCCTACGCCAAGCTCCAGCAGGCCACTGGCCAGGCGGCCCCTCAGCCTGAGGAGCCAACCATCACAGGTGACGAGAAGTCCAAGCAAAGGTTGCGTGAGTTCGTGGGCCTCATCAAGACTGCAGGTTCCAGTTCAGACCCGCACGTAGTCGCAGCTAAGGAAGCCTACCTCAAAGAGCAGCTGGAGATCAAAAACTAGCTGGCTGCTGCCAGGCCGTTGGGGCAGCGGTTCCGCGACTTGGGTGCGCAGATCACACGACGTGAAAAGCTACGCCAAAACCAGGAGTGGAAGCGGGGCACCCTCCGCGAGCGGATGGCACAGCTTCAAGAGCAAGAGGATGCCGCCACCAAGCAGTTGGCGGAGCTTGACAAGCAGATGGAGGAGTTTCAGGAGCTGCAGCGCGAGCTCCAGCGTGAAGTGCCAGTTCCACCCCAGGGCTCCACTGGGCAGGCCGCCGCCGACGAGCCGAACAAAGGCCTCTCCGTCACGCTGGGCGGCATGGGCGAGGTGTTCGCGGCGCTCGGGGCAATGCGCGAGCTGGCGGAGCGGCTCAAAACAGACGTCGAGCATTTGCGCAAGCTGGAAGCTGAGGCACATGCCAATCAACAAGCTGAACGTAAAGCCGCAGAGCGAGCACGTCGTGAGCAAGCTGAGGAGCAGGCCCCAGACGAAAAAACATGAGGTGGAGGCCAAGGGCGAGCAGAGTCTGCTTGAGGAGATGGCCAAGGCGGGAGGAGACAAGCGAAAGATCGCTGAAATCCTCGCGGTCGCGGTCATGTCTCTACTGATTTTCTTTGGGTTAATGACGAGTTCTTTTACTATCGCTACGTTGAATGTGTCTTGAGGCGGCCCTCTCATCGACTACCCGAAGTCCTGCCGCAGCATGCGCGGCGCTGTTCAGGAACATCGCGCCCGCGTCGAGGGCGGCGGCCGTGCCGAGGTACAGCAAGACGCTTTGCCCGAGGGCTTCCATGGTATCTGGGAGCCCGCTCTGTCGGGGATGGGCTCTGGTAACCAGGCAGGGGTGGCCATCTTGGCGCCCAAGCTAGCGCTGGCCACCGCCCCGCCTGGCCTGGGCGGGCCCGTGTCGGGGCCCGGCAGGGTGGCAGCCGCGCGCGTCAGCTGCGGCGGTCGTCATGGTCTCGATATACCCGCGCGTCGACGAGCAGCTGTCGCCGGAGAACCTGGCCATGCTCTTCAAGTTCTACAAGCACCCCGCCGAGGTGCTGGAGACGATGCAGATGCCGTGGGTCGTGGCGACTTCGACATGGAGGTATCGCAGCTGGGGGCGTTGGCTTGGTTGCACTCCGTCAGCGGCGCGGCCATTGTTCCGTCGGCACCCCACATGCTTGCGACCGTTTCTTGGCAGCACGATAGATTATTTCTTTGCCCGCTGGCCCCGCGTCTCGGCCCCGCAGCGGTCGGCGAGGCCGATGCGTGGCCACGCCTGCCCGCGACCACCGCGACGCAGGCGAAGCCCCGGGACATGTGGATCAGAGAGCTGGCGCAGCCGAAAGGGTTCAGCAACCCTCCCAAGGCCGGGGTGCGCGCGGCCGCCCCCCAACTGGGAGCCGCTCCTCCACCGGGCTCAGAAGGCTACCACGGCGCTGGATATGGCACATGTTTGGGGCCAGCTGCTGCTTGGCATCGAGTTTGAGTTGCAGGGGGGGTTGATATTTTTGGACCGCATGCTGACCAGTTTACCAGTGGGGCAGGCCCCCCGACGCTCGAGTGGTCCATCGGAGTCCGTTTCCTGGAAGCGCAAGGCACCCAGCGCGGCGGCTTGGGCCACGGCTGCGCGGTGGGCCCGCCACTTTCGCTGAGTGCGCACTGCCCTGCGCGCGTTCGTGCTCAAGTTGGCCAGCCCCGCGGTCGTGCTCCAGTCGGTCAGCAGTCGCGAGGGGGAGGTGCGTGAAAGCTCCCCGCAGAGTGACGGTAATTTTCACGAAGATGGCCCCTCCTGCAGTTCAGAGGGCGGCTGGCTGGTTTTCAGGCGCGCGCAGTGGATCGGCCTCTTCGCCAGGAGGCGGCGGCGAATCGCTGGAGGGGCGGCGCGGCGCGGCCGTTGTCGCGTCACAAGTCGCCCTGGCGCGGCCGCCTTCGGAGGTGTCGCGCGCGAGAGGCGGGCCCAGCAGGGCCGCGGCCGGTTCGGGGGAGGTCGCGGGGATGTCGGGGCCCCAGGTTTGCGGCGAAGCTGGGCCTCAGCGAGGTGGGCTGGGTACTCGCGCGCGGCGACCTCGCGGAGGCGCGGCGAGTTTGCCTTGCGATCGGAGGAGGTTGGGCTCCCAGCTGCTGAGGGAGAAGGTGTTGAGAGCGCAGGGCCTCGCCCAGCGCCCGCTTTCGTCGCGCCCGGCGCGACGGGTAGCTGGCCCCCGACACCCCCCCGAGAGAGGTTCCCCGACAAGCTTTGCATTGGGACCGCGAAGCACATCTTGAAGTTCGAGAATTTCCTGCGTCGCGTGGAAGCTCGTGCTGATATCTGGAACCACTTGGATGGGCAGGCCAAGGTCTTCTTTGGGCGCGGCATCGGCTCCTTCCTGCAGGACGATTTCGAGCAGCAGATCGACGGGCTCCTTGCGAAGGCCGAGGCGATGCAGCGCACTCGCGATCAGAAGGTCGCCCAGGGCTCGAAGTCGCGGGCTGAGGCGGCATTCGAAGGTGGGGCCAGTCACGCTCACACGTTTTCTAAGCCATGGACTGGACTTCGGCGAGGGAGTTCAGCATGCTTGCCAGCTCGCCGACATGAAATTGGAGTATTGAGCGGTTTCTGGCAACATCATGGGGCCCAACCCGTTGAACTTCCGCCTTGTGCTGCCGATTGGGGTCCGCCCCCGCCCCTCGCTGGCAATGGCACCCGCGCGGCGACTCGAGCCTTCAGGTTGGCGACTGGGACAGGACAGGTCAAGATCGCGCCGCGGGTGCTTGACCTGTTGTCCGATGCCGCCTCGAGTGCGATGGCGATGGTTCTCTGTCGCTGTGAGGAGTTGCTTCTTTGGCCTCAGGAGCGGCTCATCTCCAACATGGCGCGGCTCCCCAA